GCCGGCCGGTCCAGCGCGCCGTGCAGGCCTTGGACTTGGGCTGCGCTTTTCCGACGCGAAGTAAGCTTGCACTGGTGCTGACAGCGCTGAATTTTAAAGTGTAATAACTGCAGCCCTTAAACTTTAGGGTGGTAATATGACCGTGCTCGGCGTTGCTGAGTCTGGCGTGACGAGCCAGCAACTGCTTTGCTCACAGGACCCGGACAGCTGTCTGGAGCTTGAGGGTCGGGCTTTTGTTACAGAGAAAATGTGGCTACTCCCAGGCGTGTCTAAGAATTAAAGAATTCGGCTTTCAACTCTAGGGAAGTTCTTTGTTCACTAAAGATTAAACACCAGGGAGTGAGGACCAAAAAAGATTGCAAAAAGAATTTTGAGTATTCTTTACTCCCAATTAAAGATATCACTAAATGAGCACATTGATCCATTTTTCAATAAATTTGTTTCTGAGCACCTACTATTTGTCAAGCACTGTGGTAGGCACTGTGGATTCCTCAGTGACTTTAACACGATCCCTGCCACCCACCCCGTAGAATAAATAAACCAGATGATTTAGCACCCAGTCAACAAGGTAGGAAAGTAAAGAGGACGGTGGGTTAATTTACAGAGCATGGGGTATGGTTTTAGCTGGCCTAACACAGATGATGGTCTCTGAGATGCTGACAGCTACTTTGCCCTTGCCCTGCAGTCAGAGAGGTCTGACAAAACCCTAGCCTTGGATAAGTCTCCTTTAATGGTAACCCACACACCCGAAAAGGACGGCAAGAAAATATGAACCCGTCGTGACAGGCCTCCTTTTAAATTCCCCCCTCACGGAGCCTTTAATGGCGCTGGACCACTGTTCTACTAAAATACTAAATTTCTCTTATCCACCTATGCTTCCCACACTATTTTCACCTCAGAACTCCAACATCTCCTTTCTCAGCCTTATTCTCAGGTGATTACTTTGCTTCTTTTTTCACTTAATAAATAGAAAACATTTCTTCATTACCAGTGCAACCCTCTGCCTTCCCTTATGTTCCTTTTAGTGAACTGTCAACACTTGGCTAAGGACAGTCTCTACTTACCTGCCCAGTCCAGAGGTGAGCTGACAAATGCTTAACAAGTACCTCTCCTTTCAAAAGTTCAAAGCAAAGCCCCAATTTCTAAGGGTGCTAATTATTAGGGTGCAAATACTCCTACCATGTTTCAGGCAGCCAATGTGATGTCGCTATGTAGCTGGGAATAGAAGCTCAGGAGTAGATTATATACTATTTCCACCATTCACATAGTATAGACATAAAAAAAACCATAATGCTGGTATGGAAAAATGTAGCAAAATAATTACAATGGGATGAGTTTTTAATATTTACTACCTTCTAAAGTATAACTTCATCATATATTTATATAATTTAATACTTAGTAATAGCTGTGTTTAACATTAACAGCCAGCTCACGCATATCACAATACCAGATTCTGTCAATCTGTCTCTTTTGATTGGTGAATTAAAACCATTTACATTGATGGTTATAATTGATATGTATTGACTTAATCTTTGTCATATTGTTTTCCTTTTGTTGGTTTCCTTTTCTTTCCCCCTTGTTTAATTGATTGTCTTGCCTGGTGGATTCAATTTGTTGGGACTCATAGAATTGTTGTCTTTGTTACCTTTTTCTAGAATATCTTTCAGAACTTTTTGAAGTGCTGGTTTGTCGTGAATTTCTTCACGTGCCCTTTATCACGGAAATATCTCACTTCTCTATCAATTTTGAAAGATAATTTTGCAAGGTACATCAATACTTCACTCCAAGATCTCCTTGACTTAAGTGTATGTGTTGAGAAATCTGCTGTGATTCTGATGGGTTTTCCTTTATTGGTGATTTGTTTCTTTTCTCTAACAGCTTTTAATATTCTGTTCTTATTTTTAATTTCTGGAATCTTTACTATTATATCACTTGGTGCAGTTTTTTCTAATCGTGGCTAATTGGAGTTCTACTTATCTGTCAAAGTCTTTTTCCATACTTGGGAAGTTTTCTGCAACAGGGAAAACAGGGATTTTTGTCCTTTGTACTCTTCTGATTTTTTTCTTTGCTTCTAATAGATCTTATGTTATTCTTCTTTGCATCATCA